TACTGTCTTCGTTTTCCTGGAAGCCAGAGGATTTGGAGGAGGATACAAAGTTTAAAAAAGAAGAAGAAGAAAGAAAATTAAAATGTTTTTCTATGAGTTAATTGTGAACATATTGTACAAAGAGTAACAAAAGAACAGACAAGCAGATTTAGAGGACATTATAATTTAATGGGAAAATCTGGACACACATAATTGGAAATATGTAAGAATGTCTACCATAGAAATACAAATGTAATATATCATGTATAAACAATTGTATCTCTATACTCAGAGCCAGAACTAGTCAAAGAAGGCCAGAGGAAGGGAGAGATGGAAGGAGACAAGGAGGAAGGAAGGAAAGAAGGAAGAAAAGGCAAGATGAAAAGAAGTACTAGGAAAGAGGGGTATGTTAAGTAAAGTTTTGGGGTGAATGTGGGTGACCCTCAGACTAGGTTGCTGGAGTGAAGTTCACACTCCATAGCAGGTTAAGAAACTGATTGAGTAAGGACGAGGAAGAGGAGAGAAATTGATAAAGGACTTTACTCATTGTCCTCCAGTTGATTCTGACCCTATAGGACAGAGTAGAACTGCCCCATAAGGTTTCCAGGGAGCAGCCGGTGGATTCGAACTGCTGACCTTTTGGTTAGCAGCTGAGCTCTTAACCACTGCACCACCAGGGCTCCTATATAGGGCCTTAAGGTCAGTGTAAATAATTTACAGTTGCTATGAGGAGCTTCTGAGAGCCTTTAAAAGTGTATAAAAAGGGACTTACGATGTATTCAAAACAATGCTTGAGAAAGGTGATTCTTGCTATGATAATAATAGCTAACATTTATTAAACACATATATGGCAGGTGCATATATGTAAGTGCTTTACATATGAGCTCATTTAATCTTTCAACAACTCTATGAAGGAGGTACTATTATCTCTATTGCATAGGCAAGGAAACTGAGGCACAGAGACAGAGTTGTTAATTTGCTTCCCCAAGGCACCATTGCTTCTAAATGGCAGACCTGCATATGATCTCAGGCAATCTGACTCTAAGTTTGGTGTTCCATTATAAAATAAGACCTCTCTTTCTGTAGAGCTCTTTGTTTATATGTGAGATAGCTGGGAGGTTCCTTTAGGAGAGCTGAGAGATTCCTTTATTATGTAGAAGTATTACTCAAAAAAAAATTTGTAGCAGTCTAAGGCATACAGTCATTAGACCCTAAACTTGGACTGTGATCACAGAAAAAAAGAAGGATGAAGCTGAGAAAAATTCCCATGGGAGGATCATTCAGACTTGCTAGATATATTTGAAAATGGGAATAAGAGCAATTGGAGAGGTAATGATAATGTCTGTGTTTATATTATTTCATTCCAAAAATATTTATTGAGCACCTGCTATGTGCCAGAAATTGTTAGGTGCTGGGGAAGAAACAGTGAACCAAACAGACAAAGTCCGTGCACTTATGGAGCAAGATTGTGTTATTAGTAGAAAGCAGATTATATATGCATACACTAGATCTAGAAGGAAATACACGAAACTGGTAATACTGGTTGTTTTGGAAAAGAACAAGAATAATGTGGGAGCATGTACAGAAGGGAGACTTCAGTATTATGCCTATTGAATTTTAACACATGAATGTATTATCTGTTTTTAAAACTATCTTTTAAAAAACAGGTAGTAAGACTGTATGCTGTGTACTAAGACGTCTGTCTATACACATGCACACATATTTGCTTGTCTATGCATGGTTCTAGCAGTTCATGCGAGAAACTGGCTAAACTACATGCCTCTGGGGAGTGGAATTGGGTAGGTGCAGATTAGGGGTAGGAGAGGGACTTTTCATGCTACACCCTTTTAAACCAGTTGAATTTTACATTATGCACAAGTATTACTCATTAAAAAGATAAAATGCATTTTTAAAATAGCAAGCAGAAACCTAATAATAAACAGAGGTTTTATTAAGAGAATCCCACAAGTTTTTAAATGTGTTCTAGTGCGTATTCTCTAAGTTGTAACTTTTACCAGAATTCATATTTTAGGAAAAAAAGTGAGTGTGGTGGAGGGGAACCAACAAAACTTTGGTGTTTGTGACAATAAGGGAGTTGAAATATTTTTGCCTTTGGCTAACGTGGGAAAAACTCCTCAGTTATCAAAACTCTCCAGATAAGCTTTCAAAAAACGCCTAAGGCAGTTTCACTTGGTATAATACACACTTTGTCCAGACAGGTTCAGGTGGTGGCTAACCTCACTCATTGGCTGCAGGGTTTTTGTGCTTTCTTGTATAACTAACTAACACTGACATGACAGCTTGTACTTTTTAAAAATTCTGAATTGATCCATGCAGTCCTGATAAAAATTTAAATCCTACAGTGAAACTCATTCTTTCATGGAAGGAAGATGGCCAGTGTGGTGAAACCGTGATTGAAAATTCTGTTTTCTTGGTGGAGATATATTAACTTTCAGTTTTTTAAACAGCTTTATTGAGGAACAACTGACATACAATAAATTGCACCAGAAGGATTGCTCGTGTTGCCTTCTTGTAACTTAACCTCCTTCACCCTACCCTCACTTCAGTTTAGGCCTTTTTATTACTGAGTAGCATTCTATTATGCGGATATATCACAATCTGTTTATTCATTTACCTATTGCTGTACAATTGAGTTGTTTCCTATTTTGAACTATTATAAATAAAAATGGTATGAACATTCGTGTACACGTCTTTGCATGTATATGTGCTTTCATTTCTCTTGGGTAAATATCTAAGAATGGAAAGGCTGATTCATATGGTTGTTGTTGTGTGCCATCCAGTGCAATTTAAAAAAAAAAAGAAACCATTGCCATTGAGATGATTCTGACTCACAGTGACCCTATAGGACAGAGTAGAACTGCCCCAGAGGGTTTCCTAGACTGTAAATCATGTAGATCATGTGGGGCCTTAGAGGCTATTGTAAGGATTTTGGCTTGTAATTGAGTGAAATGAGGAACAGTTGCCCTGAGATAATCTTTAAAACTTAAACCAAAAATATCCCCTGAAGTCTTCTTTAAACCAAACAGTAGCTTAGCTTAACTAGTAAAAAAATGTCTGCCTTGAGAATAATGCTCTTTTAAGAACTATCTCTATGGGATCAAGCTGACAACAGCAACTCCAAAGATTAGATAGGAACCTTAGAGGGCAGTGAGTTTTTGCTAACAGGGGGAGAAACAACTCAGAAAAGGAGGCTGAGAATGGTTGCACAACTCAAAGAGTGTAATCAGTGTCACCAAATGGTGCATGTAGAAATTGTTGAATTGGTGTATGTTTGGCTCTGTCTATTCTCAACAACAACAACAAAATAAATAAAATTATATAAAAAAAGATAATTCACAAGTATATACTTTGAAAAAAATGTAAAGAAGTGATTTAATGAATTCTGACACTGAACTTTTTGCAGTTACGACTTTCTTCACGAGTTGTCTCAAATAATTAAAAAAGTAGAAGTCTCCGGTTCCATTGCCTCACTCCGTCTTTAGAGTGGAAACAAAGGAAGCTTCCTTTTGTTTAATAACATTTGACAGCTTTTTTATAATAAGACCCCACAACAAGCAACACATCACAAATAGACAGTGCCATTTAGTGATGATGCAGTTTTTTTTTTAAGTAATATAATTTACTTACGTAACTTAAAAGCTGTTTCCAAATCTATATCCAAAAGTTGTTCCACTCCACACTCCACAGGAGTGGTTGAGGATGCCGAGGATGCCTGATAGCCTCCCCAGCACTGTATATCATCAATCCCTATTCTTTTGCAAACATTCTGGGCAAAAATCAATGCTTTGATTTCATTTCATATTTCACTAATTATTAGTGGGCATCTTTCCAAATATGTTTTGACCATTTGCATTATTCTTATGAATTTCTGTTTGGACCCTTTGCCTATTTAGTTGTTTGTACTTTTCTTAGGACTCATACAGTTTGTTATAAAATCCTAATATTAAATCCTTGTCATATATTTAGTGCAATATTTTTATTGTCAATTATCTTGATATATATGGGTTTTAAATTTTAATGCAGTCCATTTTTCTGTTTTTTTAAATTATGCTTTTAGGTGTTACGGCTTATTTAAAAAGATTTTTTCCTTACCCTAAGTTTACAAATATTTTCTGCTATATTTACGTGCAAGATTTTGTCATGTTTTTGCCACCCTTAGATTTTTTTCAAAAATTTATAATTTATTTTTGTTGTTGTTATTGAGAATATACACAGCAGAACATACACCAAGTCAACAATTTCTACATGTATAATTCAATGACATTGATTACATTCTTCAAATTGTGCAACCACTTTCACCCTCCTTTTCCAAGTTGTTCCTCTTCCATTAACATCAACTCACCACCTCCTAAGTTTCCTATCTAATTCGAGTTGCTGTTGTCAATTTGATCCTATATGTTGCTGTTGTTAGGTGCTGTTGATTCCGACTCACAGCAACCCAATGTGACAGAGTAGAACTTCCCCACAGCATTTTCTAGGCTGTAATCTTTACAGAAGCAGATTGCTGGGTCTTTTCTCCCACGGAACTGCTGGAGGGTTCCAACTGCCAAACTTTCGGTTAACAGATGAGTGTTTAACCATTGCGCTACCAGGGATCCTTTTGATCCCATATAGATAGTTCTTAAAAGAGCACAATGCTCAAGGCAGACATTCTTTACTAGTTAAGGTAAACTATTGTTTGGTTTTAAAACACATCGGGGGATATTTGTGGTTTAAGATTTAAAGACAATCTCAGGGTAGTAGTTTCAGGAGTTCGTCCAGCCTCCATGGAACCAGAAAGCCTGAATTCCATGAGAATTTAAAATTCTGCTCTACATTTTCCCCCTTTTGATCAGGATTCTTCTATTGAATCCTGGACAAAAAACGTTCAGTAATGATAGCCAGTCACCATCCAGTTCTTCTGGTCTCATGGCAAAAGGAGCACTTGTTCATGGAGGCAATTAGTCACACATTCCATTTCCTCCTTCCAATTCCTGACTCTCCTTCCTCTGTTGCTCCAGGAGAATAGAGACCAATTGCTGTACTTTGGATGGCTGCTTGCAAGCTTTTAAGACCCGGGCACTATGGGACAATGCAGTGTTTTTGAAAGGAGAATCTACAACGTTAAGGTCTGATAATTTGGTAAGAAAAAATTTAACAACTTTTCTTTCAGGTCGTAGAACAGTCAGTTACTAGATTAGAGACTAACTTGTGCAAGAAAGGTCAGATTGTGAAGCAACTGCTTCAGTTGGGTTCTATAATGTCTTTGACAAATCTTGCCCCAGAATAGTAACAATGATAATGATTATTTGAAATGGGATGATCTACTTTTCAGCTCTAAGAAACTAAGAATTCTTTGTTCTTCTAGGAAGTGAGTATTGTGACAAGTCCTTATTTCATACATATTTTATTCTTTTTCTTTTTTATATGTATTTTAATATCCTGTTTTGTAAATGCCTAACAAAAACTTCTAATAATTATCCAGAATTAGTCTACCTTAGTAGATAGAGTTCATCTCCTTAGGACAGCTAGTATTTGCATAAAATGCTTTTTGAAAGAACAATCTAATGAACAAATGAGTGAGCTGTGGTTAGTGGTGGTAGCATCTGGCCACAAGTGCCATTTGAATCCCTATTCTTTCATCGAGGTGGCATGGCCTCCACAGAGCAAGCCAGGAAAATGCCCTCATGTCATGTCTCTCCTGTTTCCCACCGGCCAGTTTCCCAGCTTCTACCTTATGAAGTGCATAAAGCTCTAGATCAGTGCTACCAAATGTGGTCTGTTGGCCAGTACTGATCTCAAACTGTGGTCAGTTTACAATGAGATAAGTACAGAAGCTGAGGGTAAGCATTTAGAATTTTTGTAACTCTTTGGCAGTGTAACTTTGTCTGCTGAATCTCTATTTAAAAAATTGGGCTATTATCTTTTATATCTTAAAAAATTCATTTTCATAGTAATTGGCTTTTATTGTTGTTTAAAAAAATATATCTGTCTGTGACAGATTGGAAATAAAAAACAGTTCCTTCACCACAAAAATTTGAGAAATGCTGTTCTAGATGACCCTTCATCACAGATGCTACCAGAAAAATGTTCAGTAACTTCCTGCATCAGTCCAGCCCATTTTGAATATCTGAATGTCATTGGTCTCAGCTCTGACCCTGCCTGGTCTTACCTTAACCTTGGCTTTCGTTCTACTTCTGCAGCAAAGACAGCTACATATGATGATAGCTTTGCATTGCACAAGGGTGTCCTACCATAATGTAGCCCATGCAGGCTAGTGCAGTGTGAATTAGAAGACAGAGCTCCTTCTGGGTGGACACAGCTCTGTGAAGGCATGAGCTGCTAAGCTGAGCTGAGCTGAGCATGTGCTTGATTTCAGCCCCTGCGGCCTGGACTCCTTTGTGCAATGCAAAACTACACAAAAACTAAACCGATATAGATCTATATTGGCATGATGCAATTTTTATAACACGTTAAGTGAAAGAAGCAAATTATAAAACAATATTAAATGATCATGTTTGTTTCAATATATACACATATAATTCTCTACATAGGTATTTTAGATGTGCGTAGGTATTTATAGATGTTTACTTCCTCTACTAGACTGAGCTCCTTGATGGGCAGAGATTATGGCTTATTCATTTTTATATTTTCAGCATCTAGCACTATGACCTGCGTGTAATTCATAATCAGTATTTTTAATGGACTGAACATTCATGTAGTTTTACTTAGTTATAGTGAACTCATTTCCTTTAAAAATTTAACAAAATTGCATAGATATTATGACCACATTGAATAGCTAGCACACTACCTTTTGGTGTTTAGGTTATTTCTACACGTGACTTTGTATATGGCTTTTTCTCTTTTTTGGGAAAACTTTCTCAGGCTATAAATACGTTGCCAGATTATACTCCCTAGGAATGTTTACCTTGCTCCAGTATTGAATTGGCGTATTTATTTTCAAAAAGCTTCACCAACATTGGGTTGCATTATTTGTCCTTATTTTGCCAGCTTTAAATCCAGATTAAGGCTGATAGGGGAAAACGAGTGAGTGGGAGAAACTGTACACCTGCTTGAAACATCAGGGTCAAGGATATCCAGGGATCAAGGAAGGAGGCTTTTATAACTTCCAGGGTTCTTCATCTCAACCTTATCACTAAAATGCTAAAGCTGAAGCCACTAGAACCAAAGATGCTATCAAGGATGGGGAATTCTAAGTAGGAGGTGAAATAATTGAATTTCCAAGTTTTAGGTAGGTGTAAAAGGGAGAAAGACTTGGAAAAGGAGCTTTGGCTGAGGGGCACCAAATTGTTTAAGATAATGAGCTCTAGAGTCAGGCTGCCAGAGTTTGAATCTGGGCTCTATAATTTCTAGCTGTACAACCTTGGGCAGTAACTTTAACATATCTGTGACTCTGTTTCCCTATGTTTTAAATGGGGGATAATACTACCTATCTTATAGGGCTGTTATAAGGATTCAATAAATTAAAAATATTTAAAGAGCATAGAACAGTGCCTGGCAAATAGCATCTATGTTAGCTATTAGAAGTATCTCTAAGGCATTATCTAAAATTTAAAGAGTAAGTAGGAGAAACAATTTAGGGCTCATCTCCCTAAATATAGAGCCCTGGCAGTGTGGTGGTTAAGAGCTACAGTTGCTAACCAAAAGGGTGGCAGTTCGAATCTACCAGCCACTCCTTGGAAACCCTATGGGTTGGAAAAAACTCAATGGCAATGGATTTGGTTTGGTTTGGGTTTTTCCCTAAATATCTTGTTATGACAATATGACACTTAATTTAAAACTATTTCCCAATTTTTCTGGGAGTTCACAATGTAGAGTTACCTTAATCTCAAATTTCTTTTCTTCACATACTTTGATAGTGATTTACTCTCTATAAAATTCATCCATATTGATGAATCTGGAGGGCATTATGCTGAGTGAAATAAAACTCATGAAAAAGTTTAAACACAAAAAGAAACAATCTTTTATTGTTGATGTGTTGTGAGATTGTTAACCATTGTCATAGGGCAACATTTGTAGTAACTGTTAAATGAGAAACTATTTTGTTCTGTAAGCCT